CCACCCCTGGATCTGCCCCTGCACACTACAGGGCCCAGTTGTACGATATGCCACCTCTTACCACCCCTGGATCTGCCCCTGCACACTACAGGGCCCAGTTGTACGATATGCCACCTCTTACCACCCCTGGATCTGCCCTTGCACACTATAGGGCCCAGTTGTACGAAGGGTGGATAGTGCTATTCAACGGATAAATCTTATCCAGTGGAAAAATTAATTGGATAACAGCATCGACATCCACTGGATAGTGCTATCCCCCCTTCGTACAACCCGGTCCATGTTTACAATTACACATACATTCCTTTTTCCATTCCTATGCGTTATGAGGTACAAGAAACGTGTTAGGGATTCCTGTGGATAATGCACAGATGTTACGTGCTTGGATACCGCATAGCAACGCCATACTGGAGAGCAAGCTCTCCAGTAAACAACAGAGATCTAAAGGTCATACAAGCGTGCTTTCAAACGAAGAATTRTAGTTAATACAAGCCCAAGAGCATTCCGTTTCTAGATATTCAGTTAATACAACTCGAACTTGTATGTAAAGTGAGGGTTCTAAGTGGAATTCGTCGCGGTTTGGAGTGGAGTTCGTCGCTTTTGCGGCCGGCTTCAGCGTCGGAGTAGAAACAAAATGGCTGCTAACGAAGGTATGTCTGAAAAAAACTATCTTTTAAACAAACTAATCGGCGGCTTTTTATGATAAAAAACGAAGAAGTTAACGTCATACTAAAGAGGGTTTAAATGGAAAGAGAAATTCGAGTCCATACCACTGCTATGATTGATATTTTTACTTAAACTTTTGGGTCTCTTTTGTTTGTTTACACCAGCCGAAAACTCTTCACAAGATATAAGTTCCCTGCCTGAGTTAACCTTTGCGTTCGTGGAAAATTACGCAAAAGACAAGTCTGGTTGTAAGAGTACTTCTAAAGCTTACAAGTTTTTTGCCGAGCCTGGATATTTACATGATATTAAAGGTAAATTACCCATTGGTTGTTTGAATTATTGTATACCTCTGATATGGCTTCTTGAGTTCACTCTCTTATTGTATTCGCTTTGTTCTTTTGTTAATAGTTGCCTATGATTTGGATTCTGCGGTAATAAATGCCCGATGCTACCGCTCAATGAAAAAGAGCGAGCCTCCATATATACTCCAAGCTAAAATCAAGTTGACTGACTGCTCAGCTTCTGGGAGATGCTCATGTGTAGCTGGCATAGGTGGATACTGCCATCATGTAGTTGGTCTTCTTTACTACATTGCCCACTGCAAACAGCTTGGTCTCCGCTCTGTCCCTGACTCCTTAACATGTACTAGCATGCCCAAAAGATGGAGTATTCCAAGAGGTAAAAAGATTGAGCAGAAAGAAATCCAAGACATCTTGGTCAAAAAACCAAAAATAGGTGCAAATTATAGCAAATTCATAAAGAGCACTCTTTACTCTCCATCRGAGGTTTACAGAACAATGACAAAAGAAGACTTTGATAACTTCGAAACTAAACCACTGATAGCTAGTATACTCCCAAGTGCAGAGAACCTTGCAAGCATTTCATTTGTGCAATGTAAATTTGGTAAAGTTCCCAAAGGCTCAATTATTTCCTATCAACAAAAACTGTCCCAGGACTATGTTATAAATGATTTTAGCTGCACTAACTTTCCAAAGCTACCTTTGGATTCTGCTGAAAGCAGATTTGAGAACACTTTCTCAAGTTGCCAGACTCAACAGCAGCAAGCTTCCTTGGATGCACTGAGGGTAAGCACAGAGGCATCACTTGACATCCAGGAGAAAACAATGACTCAAAGTGCAAACAATCTGTGGCACGTGTTGAGAAGCAAACGCATTACCGCCAGTAAGTTTGGAATTGTTGCAAAAARAGTAAGAGATTTTGAAAACTTGGTAAAGCAGCTCAATCCATCTCGCCATGTTGTAACTGCACCTATGAGAAGGGGAATTGAAATGGAACCAACAGCTGCAATGACCTATGCTAACAACTTGAAGGGTGGATCAGTTAATTTATTTCCATCCGGTCTAATCATCCATCCTAAATGTCCATGGCTGGGTTGCAGCCCCGACCGTAAGGTGTATGACCTAGAGGCAGTTCAGAATGGCTCCAATCCTTTTGGGCTGTTGGAAATCAAGGTTGTAAAGGAGGGGGAGACTGACTTTGGCAATGTCAGATACCTTACCAATGATCCTATCACCAATGAATACTCTTTAAAGAAAACTGATATCTACTATTATCAAGTACAGTGCCAGCTAGCCCTGACTGGCCTTGAATGGTGTGATTTTTTTAGTTACATAAGTGACAATCTTCTTGTTTGCAAGAGAATTCTTTTTGACAAAGATTTTTTTCAAGAAGCAAAAGACAAGGTTGATAGTTTTTATTTTTAACACTTTTTAAAATAATATCATTTCTTTGAACACTGAAAACCAATGTTTAAAATAATATCCTAAAAAGATTATAAATACTGGAAAGGATTTCCACATTGCATTTGAAAGTGACTAATAAGTTGACTTATTATAGTTACCACAGTAAACCCATAAAAAATGGTATTTTACTATACAACTATTGCAGAAAA